TGGTTCTTAGCAGATGAAGAGTCAGAAAACAAATATCTGCAAGTTGTGGAGAAATTACTATAAAATAGTAAAACACAGACTGTTAAGGCCTTCCTAAAATTGGTTCCATATTCTACCATCTGTAATGTTAACAATTCAGAAGACATTTCTCTAAGCTGTAAATGCTATGTCTCATGGACAAGCTTCTTTCTCTTATACTTGCATTACATTTCAACAAACACCTTAGTATACGACAGTGATTAAAAATGCTGTTCTTCAAAGAGTGAGTTAACTGTTCCAACATGAATACTGAAACCATTATAGATTATATAGGACCCATTCTTTTGTTTCTTAAGGTTTTAGCATTAGACAAAGACCAGTCCAACTTCTGTGAGATGTTCTTCTATGAGGCAAACCCCTCTGTCACGTAAACAAGGAGCAGTAACCTGTCCCTCTAACTTGCTAATTTACACAGGACAAGTTCCACACACATAGTGCTTACTTTTCTATATGTAACCTGTTCAAAAAACTAAGAATTTTGTTAAAATCTGTGAAACAGAAAAGGACATAAGGAAAAAGGATATCAACAGTAGTAACACAGATTGTTGAAACAGAGCTAGAGGTAATTTTGTTGCCAAGGAACAATCAGCATGTAGAGTCAAACACAAGCGATACATGCCTCAAAAATAACAGAATAAGCAACCACTGTTCCTTGGTCTGCATCCTTTGAGAGACAATATATTCTGTGCAACCATTGGCCCCCCTGAACATTTTTTTTAATGGTTTAAAAGATTCAGAAGATGTTAATGTAGGTACCTTTATTGATAGGACATCCTAGGTTATCTTCATAACTGTTTTGCTACAGAAGACTGGAAAAGCAGTGTGAATTGCACAGAACACAGGCAGAAAGTGGAAATATACGTTGTAAACTTCTTCACTAATGGATCTTTTCTGGTGATCTTAGATAATGGGGTTCCTTTTCATGACACAGTAGCCCTGGATGTACTCTCAGGAGACTTTAAGGAGAAGACAGTACTGTCGGATAGCACATATTCCCGTATACAATAGCTGAGAGGTTTTTCCATTAAAGGCAGACAGTGTCATACTACTCTGCAAAACTTTCTGAGAAAAGGAAGACCAATTTGTTTTTCTCCATTTTCAGCCATTTTCTGTGTCCCAGGGGACTTTTAACTAAACAGAGGGGAAAAAATAGCTGGAGAAGAGATTGGAAATAAGAGTGACAGCTAAATACTAATTGTATTCAGCATAAATACAGAAGCTAACTGGAATCTCAAGAAAAAAAACTTGGCACTCATGAATTTTGGCATAGAAATTCTTCTGTCCTGATTGTTACTTATACCAATTCAAGCATGTATTAAATAATAGCAGTAATTAAAAAACTGCAGTAAATTAAGACAAACTTCATATACTCTAAAATATCAGTTGATGACAACTGAAGCCAATAGTTACAATACATTGATTTTAACATATTTTTCTGCTATAGCATACTGTGTCCCCAAGCCTTTCAGCTAGCAGGGTCATTTTAAGGACATCTTAATTTAAAGAATTCAGGAAGAAGTCCTTTTGGGATAATATATTTATATGTCAGTAATCCATGTATATTTGATGAAAAATATTTTTTTTTCCTTAAAATCCAATAATTTCTCCAAAACAACTGATCTGCAAAATTCTAATTTTAGTTGGTGATCTTTGGGGAATCTTTAACACATTGATTGGGAGGTTTTTTGTGTTTACTGTTCATGGTAGATCAAGAAAAATTCTTCTTTATTTCATTTCTATAACCCTACAATTTTATCAAGTGTTGCTAAGATTGTTACTTTGTCAAAGTGATGGCAAAACAATAAAAAGGGATGGATAAGTGTAAATTCATTTTCCCTTTAAGTTTGCTGTTACTCAGTTTTACTCTGGATATATTCATTTGAGAATGACAGATAGTCTTAAAACCACAGACAAAACTCATCAATTTGACTGAACATAGACATTGTTTCTAATATTCTGATACTCTTAAGTATACCTAATAGCTCAACAGCCAATAGAAAACAATCTTCTTGAAATTAATATTGTTTGTCATCTACTATGAAAATCCACAGTGTATCTCAAACTGTTATCTTTCATGCTTCAATTTTATGTTTAAATTAGAATTTAATTATTCGAAAGGGCTCACATTCTTCAACTCTGTGGCTAAATTCCCAAGAAATTTCAAGGATTATTTAAACAAATTGAGCTCCTGAGCTTGGGACTTGTCCATGAGGTAAAAAGTGGCTATTTTCAATTTGAAATTCGTACATGGCATACATGCCATTCAGAAGGCAGTAAAATCTGCCACTCCAGGATCATTACAGACCTGTGGATAAAGACAAAGAAAGAAAAGGATATAATTTGATTTGCCTCCAACTTTATTAATTTAACTCATCTGGTGACTATCCAGTAATAATTCTTCCAACGAAGGTCATAATTCTTCTTTAGTTGTTTCCACCTGGTACGGTACTGCTATCAATCCCCTCTTCTTCTTTACCTTTCTGTACTTGGCTCTCAGCCCATCACTCATGTCTTCCCAGTCTATCCTTGTACTAACATTAAGAGGCAAGGGCAAAGATGTTTGGTTTTTTTGTTGTGTCAGACCACAGAACCTCCAGCTTGGCTTCCTCCAGTGCTGGATGCTTTCTGTGTGCTAGTCCTTATTCCTGTATATGCCTTCTGAGAATGAGTTCCTGCCCTGCTCCTGCTACAGTCTGACATACTGGGCTTTTCCTTATAACCTACCCCCTGAGATTCTGCAAAGTAAGTTGAAAATTACTAACAACCTCTGACTTTTCCAATCCCTTCTCCCCTTCCCTGCTCCTTTCATACTTCTCCCCATACAAAAACCCCCCCCCCCCCCAAAAAAAAAATCTTCAACAAATAATGAAACTCCTTTAGCAGACAAAAATCTTCATCAGTAAATTAATGTACAAACCAGAAAGTTAAGGTCTACTAACTCAAACATTCAAAGACACTTGGACTACAAAGTCAAGATTTGTATACTTAAGTAAACATCATTTCTTAACATACTAACCCAACTCATGCCTTGCCATGCTCCCAGGTACCCTGAGGAGAAAAGGGGAACTGTGAGACCCTTAAAGAAATTAATGTGGACAAAGGTCATCTCTTCCTTCCTTCCCAACACGTTGCTTTTATGATTGCAGCAACTTCATTTTGGACAGTCAGACTCTAAATATGAAATCCATAAACACTTTGTTATTGGTCATTTTTCACTGGCAAGGTTTTACCGTGTTTCCTCATTAGCATGTGGATCATAAATGGAGTTTTAATTTTGGAACATAAACACAATTTGCACACTAGTAAGCACACAAACTGTATAGTAAATATGTAATATTAAGACAGTAAGCAGTAAACACTTTTGGAGAAAACTTAATTTGTATTTTCAATCACAATAGGTAAGACTGATTGGTAATGGTGAATCTATTTATCCAGGAACACAGACCTGGCTAGACAGGAAATTTTGTATTAGTGGGATAGCATTTCACTATTTATCGATTTATTTCTAAAATAAATGAGAATATATTCTATTGCTCTTGAGGTGGATGACATGAGATTGAAGTAGGTATTTTAATATCCTGTTTAATGTCAAGTTAGAAAATTAGATTCTTTCTTAACCTTTGAGTTTTAGTCATAAAAAGACTGATGCTTCAGGACCTCCCAGTGTTTGAAGATATACCATCTATTCAAATGGAAAGGGCTGACAGCCCCAGGGCTGGCAAAATCCTTAGCTGTTTACAGGAAATACACTTCCTGTTCATTGGGTTGTGAAGGTAGCTTAATAATTTTGAATGAATTCATGTGAAGCTATTGGCACATATTTTTTCAGGTATGCTAAAGAATGCTGGGTAGCATTGTTAATAAGGTTTATCTGGAATGATAGATTATATATACAAAAAAAAACCCCCAAACATTTAAGGGAGAAATGAGTCGTATCAGAAAGGTCAAAAAAAGCCATTGAACTGTGAGCTTCATGTTTTGAGACAAATTCATTGCACTTCCCTACTTACACTGTTGCTGAAGGGAAAAGTGTTACCTATTCATGCAAAAGGCCCTTCTCTACCTATAATGTTGAAGTTAAAAAGAAGGATATATTTACAAAACAAAGATCCCATATTTCCTATTGCTTAAGCAAATTTGACACACTAATAGTTCAAAATAATAGATTTTCCTGATTCTTGTTTCTGGAACATTTGCACAGCACTACCTGTCAGCAAATTTGTTTAAGATTCAAGAGACTGAATAATAATGATTCTCTAACTATTCTTCAACATTCAATGTCTTCCAGAAATCATACTGCAGATCATCCTAAGGTAGCTTAGATGTCCATGAGTTTTAGCAAAGTCCTTCTACCAAAAGATTGTCTTTAAGTTCAGTTTGTTTATTTTGATTTGCTGCATATACAACATTTATCAGCTCAGAGCAAAAAGATGAATGGAAATAAACAATGACACATTTGCAATAAGATTTTTGTGGCAAAGACCTTTACTTAGATATTGCAGTTTCAGTGCAATCACAACTTCCTTTGTAAATGACAGATCTAATTGTAAAGTTAAAATCATAGCTCCATGAGGGGAAAAAAAAAAATGTTGAAGACACAATATCTACTGTATGTCTAGATGTGGCTGTATTCCCAACAAAATCATTCCTATTATTCATGAGTTGATTTACAATTTTTATCTCTCCATAACATGCAGCATTTTTTTACCCTTACATTTTGAGGCATTATAGTTTCTGCTGACATGGGTATTTTCCCAAAATAGAACATTACAGCAGTCCTCTGCTAGACATTTAAGCCATGTGTATGTTTATTTTTTTAAATTTCTTTCTTGAACTTTCTAACTGTGAGCAAGCTGAGAAAGTCGAGGCATGATAAATGAGAGTTTGCTTTAAAACAAAGAAAAACAAAAAGTATAAGTGTAGATATTTGATGTAACATTGAAAAATTCACAGCGTCCTACCTTGAAAACAAACATTTCCCGGCGAAGAATAGCCAGAGTGTTGAAGTTCCCATCACAGATGTTAGGCTTGGCTCCTGGATAGGAAGGTTTGTCACCAGTGGGTGGCCGGGGAGGTTTAGGTTGCCTGTCATTCTTCCGTGGGTCTGCTGGAGGGATTGACCGATGTGGGGGCACTGTTGGCAGAGGTCTTGTTGGTGGTGGTATCCTGTCAGGTGGACCTTCAAAAATAGCAGCAGGATGTAATTTACATGCCCACATGCACTCAAAGAAGAAATACACAAAAAAACCTGCTGTAAGCAGTGCAAATCCTACGGTGGAAGAGGAATGGAAAAAGTGACCTAATGTACCTTTCCCATGTTGCTAAAACATATAATGAATGACTACCATAAAACCAAGGCATGAATGAAAAAAATAACTACTTTTCACTATCCAGAATCTTCCTTCCTTATTGGAACAACATTCCAATAAAACCTGCAAATGATGCATAGTCCACCATAGTCCAATCATTGACTATTTCACAAAATAAAGGGAAATAAAAAACCTGTTCCTGATAAGATCAGCAGCAGTCAATGGCGTTTCAATGCATATTTGTAACTTCCACCCATCAATACACATGTGCATATATGTGGCATACCTGATATTTCCCACTGACCCAATTTGTAGGCCAAGTAATGTCATGTACATTAGTGACAGGACATTCCCAGCTTTCCCCAATGCTCCTAGGTATAGGAGCTCTTGAAACTGGATTTCAAATCCTAGGCATTCACATAAATAAAAAACATAATTCACATGTTTTCTTCAATATTCTGAAATTAATTACTTCTTATTTTAATTTGTATATTCCAGTGAGTCTTACAAAGCTAGATACCTGATAATTAAAAGAATTGTTCTGAGGATAAAAGGATTAAAAAAACCTTCTAAAGTGAAAAACTAAAACTCTGTACAGTGGTTTTAAAACATTTTTTTTCTTTCAAATAAATTTTCTGTCATAATATACAGAGTTTGATGATAGGTTAAATAACTATCCTACTCATAATTTCTCTATCTGTCAAAGGGTCATCCTAGATGGATGCTGCTCATAACCCTAAAGTCATACTGGATGACTTGCAATGTGTGTACTGAAATTGCCTTTCCCTTTTTAGACATATTGTTACATTGACTTATATTTTCAAGGTACAAAAAGTTAAGAAGTTTCAGTTGGATAAGTAAGATTTCTGGAAACAAGATGAATACTTTAATTTTGCTCATTTTATTTAGGCCTCTCTCCAAGTCATTTAAATACAGAATGAATTTGGACTTTTAAAAATAAATATAATTTGCATGACCAGCTTCAGAAAGACTTTTAAATAGTAAGACAACTCTGAAACTGCATAATGGCATTTGAATTTCTGATACTTTTTCAAAAGAAGTATACTTTTTAAAGAACAAGATGGACTATGTAAGGAAATGCATAATGTAATAAGGCATTTATTTCATTCACAATTTTAAGGCTTGTGACATTTATAATTTATAGTTAATAATAGTGTTTCAAGGAATACTGCAGACCAAAGTAATTATTTTAATAGGCGTGACATTTTTATTGAGGCATATGATTCCAGATCACCTCTTGATTTTAAAGGGAGCAAAGCAATCAGTTTGCAGTAGCTCATGTTGGAAAGTTTTTAACCCCAAACCAAAGTTTTCATATGCCATTTGGTGGTGATGTCAGATATTACTTCCCAGGGGTAACACATTTCTTCTAATGTTTAGCCCACAGCTGTTAGAGCTTAGCAGCTAGTTTTCAGCAAAGTGTTCTTGTCTAGCCCTTAAGTCTAGACTACCAACTTATGAGGTCATGAGAAACAACCTTCCTTCCAGCTAATCACATAGGGAAAAAAAACACCAAACCCACAACCAAACAAAACTTGATCTGCCAATCATTTTGAAATTGTTATTTATGCTTTATGTAAATATTTATCAGTGCTTGTTAATATAAAACACCATGGAGGCTGCAGAGTTCTAGTTAGTACTAGAGTAATTCTACATGATCATAGTTGACTTTTCTAGCTGTAAAGATAAACAAGGAATGGCCCTGATAATATTCAACATAAATCTGACAGTTAAACATTTAAATTGAAAATAATTCTGAGTACAAAATCAAATCCAATACAGAATTAATTGGGGAATTTTAAACAAGACAATTTCAAATGATATGTACTGGATACATAGCATTAACATACCACAGATTTTTCACTGTAGGAGAGAAAAGTAAAATATACTTCTAAAGAAAAAAACCAGACTATTTAACAGATACCAACAGAATCGAAGTCTTTGAAACCAAGAACAAAACCATGTCTTTGGAAATGTAAGGAACAGTCATATGGGAGTTAGTGTTACATTCAACCCATAATCAAAATACTGTTATTGTCTTGGCTTTTTTTTTTTTTTTTTATTTTTCAGTTACCTTGCCTTATCCAATTCAATTCAATACCTGTAGAATTTGTTTACATCACATTTATTTACATCACATATGTCTGCTATGTCAGGCCATAAAAAAACTAAACAAACATATTTTAAAGAAGTGGGCCTTTTTCCCCTTAGGGAGTTCAAAATCTTGGGCTGGTAATACCATTCTTTTGAGATCAATTTGCTATATTTATTACAAGAAAGGGTTTTTCTAGGACTACAAATTTTGTACACCTAGGGAACTGTTTAGTATTATAACTGATAAACTGACAAGCAGTCAATTCATCCAGTTACATGCGTTTGGACTGCTGTGGAAATAAGCTTATTATGATTTTTCATAGTTTGGGACCCTTTTGCTGATATTTTCTTTATGGATTTTTAAAATTAAAATTACTACTCCAGCTGAATGCAAGTTGTGAACAATGATAAACAAAGTAAAAGAGCTTCATCAAAATCTTTGGCCTACGAAGGCCTACAGGAAGGCCTTTGGCATAATAACTGGCACAGTCTAAACTAACAAACTATTTTGGAGAGGTGGTAGGGACAGGAGGACCTCAAATGTATTCTAAAGATTAAAAAATTATGTTGCTTAATTAGAGCATGACATACCGTATATCTTCTGGATGCCCTGTAAATCATCATTAGGTAGTTTGAAGTTGTCAGTTTCCATATACTGGTAAAATGGAGCCATGATTGCAGTGGGATCATTAGAGTGCTCCAAGCCCAGAGCATGTCCCAGTTCATGCACTGCAACTAGAAATAGATCATTTCCTATGAAGAGAGGAAAGGGAAAAAAGACCTTTGAAACTACAAACATAGTAACAGAAATAACACAAGTGGAGGACTCTGCACTTTAAAAACATTTTCACTGGATTTGAATTTTACAAGGTAACACTTAATAATGAATCATAAGGATAATGTGGTAGCAAAGGCAGCTTTCCTTTTTTTTTAAACAAGGAAACCATTTTTGTTACATATAATATATGATCATCTTACAGACACCATAAGCATAATCTTTTTTAACTGATGTACATGATTACTGTAGGGTTCAAGTGTCATACCTCATGTCTAGACTTGTGTGCAATTTCTGACTTGAAGTTGATGCTGCAGTGAACCTGAGTAAAAATGCTTGCATCAATACATAGTTCCAAGAGGAAAATATCCTTGCTGTGTGAGGTAAACTTTACAAACTGAGGACTACCTATTTAGGACAAACCCCACAGGGAACTTAGTCATTCAAGCACTTGCAAACAGACCTCTGCTGATTATTTGTAAATGTCCATTTCTGAATCACCATAACTGCAGTCCTAATGAGGAAAATATGGATGTTGCTCTATCCTTCTCAAAATTGGATGCTCTTATTTATTTCATTGTGTAAGTAAGTCCCTTATAAGTGTAGTTGCTTATTTAAGTATTAGAACTTTTTAGTTTTTGTAGGTCTAAAAAATAAAATAACACATTCATGTTATAGACCGATTTAACTTTTTTGTTATATTTTTCTAAAATTCATCTTTTCAGTTTTTATTACAGGATATTGGACACAACTAGAAGTTTTGACAGTAGAATTATGGCACTCTGTGAAGCAAACAAAAATCAAAGCCAATGGGATTATTTCTATAAAAATTTCAGAGCTGGACCTCTATGGTATTAATTTTGTCTGGTTTTATTCATCTAAGACTTAGTTCAGCATATCTTTCTGTGAGTGTTTTGTACAGATTCTGTAGTTTACCTGTCATATTATGAGACTTTGGAAAAATATTTTACATCAGGAGAAAGATTCTGGTCACTTGGAGAGGGTCACATCCAGGATATTGCTCATTTTCACCACCTAGGAATGGGAAGAATCATCCTCTGGAAATGTGATCCTGTCGCACTGACAAGAGAAGTATTCTAGATCAGCAGTTTATGCTGAACATCTAACTTTTAGATGGCTGGACTCAAGTGAAACAGGTGGCACCTACAGTAGGTAGTTTCTTGTTGAAAGAGCAGTATAAATACTGAAAGGCCTATACTGTGGCCTAATAGACAGTTGTATGTTGAAACAAGAAAATGAATAGTGTTAACTCTGTGAATTCTGTGGAGGTAGACAGTTATTTTCCGCTGCTGGCACTTGATCTGGAATTCTAAGTACTATTATAATATTAATAGTGATAATATTAAAAAGTTGAATTTAGCAAAAAAAAAAAATATATATATGTAGTTACAGAACTTTGAGGACATAGTTGATAGTGTTTCAATTTTTCAAGTATTTCCTCTTGTTGACACAAAGAAATAAACTTTCTCCCAAGTATATATGAAAGGGGAACCACTTGGCAGTAAATGTCTTCATGATCTATGGATCCATGATGATGTTTGTAAAAAAAAATGTTTGACTGGAAGTGTGGAAACAATCATAACTAAAACTATGTACTTAGTTGACAGAGTCTTTTCATGTCTTTCTGATTCTTAATCCTGAAATATGAAGACTAAATGCTCTTGCTCTTTCATTTAGTACAACTGTGCCGAAAAGTCTTGTCTTTCAAAAATTAATGAGACATAATGTGCTTTCAGAAATGAGAAGAGTTTATCTTGTCATTTATAAATATGTGTTTTCCAGATGAAATATTTTCATGACGATATTTTTTCTTGGGTGTGGTTTTTCAGCAAAGCAGATTCTCAGTGTGCTGTTGTAACAGGTTTGATAAGCTTGACTGCCCCGATGATGAATGCTTTTTATATTTGAATCTGCCCTTCTATATCCAAAGCTGATCTTGACATTCTCTCATATGAATAAGCCACAGCTTCTGTAGCTAATCTCAACATTGGAAGTGATGCACAGGAACAACTCTATAAAGTTTTCATTCTGCACTCATAATGGAATAATTAATATAATTTTTTAAAATGATAAGTTTAAGATGGAAAGACATGAAGGAAAAAAGTTATTACTGTACTATAGCTATTGTACTGTGACATGTCTCTCATTATTTTTCAATTCTTTTCTGTGTTTTATGAAAGTTAAGAGGTCTAACAAAGGTTTATTAGAATGAAATATTTCTTCATCTGGCATTAACTCATATATTTAAGATGCAACTTTCTTTTACTTTTCAGACCTTGTGAAAGGCAAATTTGCCTCCTAGACTTGTGCTTCCTACATGATAATTAAGAATATTAACCAGTCTAGGTCCTATATTTATAATTGTACTAAGTCAGTCACAGTATTTACTGAAGCATTTTCAAATAGTTGTAAATTAATAATATTTGATTCTACCACTATTATTAAGCTGGTCAGTATCAGTAGACCAAAGAGTGTTTTACATGTGGTATTCAACCTTTACTGTTTGAGGTAGAATAGAACAGACTATTTCATTTGGAAGGAACCTACAAAGATCATCTAGTCCAACTGCCTGACTACTTCAGAGCTGACCAAGTTAAAGCATGTTAAGGGCATTATCCAAAAGCCTCTTAAACAATGACAGGCATGGAGTACGAACCACGTGTCCAGGAAGCCTGTTCCAGTGTTTGACCACCCTATTGGTAAAGAAATGCTTCCTAATGTCAAATCTGAACCTCCCGTGATGCATCTTCAAACCTTTCCCACACATTCTATCACTGGATACCAGGGAGAGGAGATCAGCATCTCCCTCTCCACTTCCTCTCCTCAAGCAATGAGGTCACCCCTCAACCTTCTTTTCTCCAAACTAGACAAGCCCAAAGTCCTTAGCCACTCCTCATAGAACATGCCTCCCAGCCCTTTCACCAGCTTTGTTGCCCTCCTCTGGGTGCATTCAGTTCAATTGTGGGGCCCAGAACTGCACACAGTACTCCAGGTGAGGCCACACCAACACTGAATACAGTGGGATAATCACCTTTTTTGACTGGCTGTTTATGCTGTGTTTGATGCACCCCAGGATGCGGTTTGCCCTCTTGCTGACTCATATTGAGCTGCTGTCGACCAGCACTCCCAGATCCCTTTCTGCAGGGCCACTTTCCAGCAGAGAGAGATAACTCTTGCCCAGCATTACTCCATCCTAGGTGCAGAAACTGGCATTTTGACTTGTTAATTCTCATCCTATTAATCATTGCCTAATGGTAATGCTAGGAAGTCTGGGAAGTGAACTTGTTACAATTTCTAAAATTTCAAGGAACCACAGTTAACAAATAATCTTAGAAGAGTCTACTGCTTCTCTCTATTTATGCCAGTTATGCAATACATAAGGAATCAATATATCCTTTAGTTGTAAGTCCTCACTGAGTCCTCATAAACATCTCCAGGAATTTCTATATTTTGTTCCATGCTGACCTTGAAGGGGTGTGAATTACATAGCAAAGGGGAAATAAATAAAACACACTGTCATCTACTGGCATATCTTCCTTCTGGGAATACAGATAATGAGCATATGGTAGAGCACTTCCAAAGTAGTACTTCTAAATGACAGTGGGACTATGTCAGAGAACAGGTATTATGCAAGGGGTGGCTGTTTCCTAGTATGTCTTTCTCCTCTGGTCTTTTGGGAAGGGGTGATTATGTGGAAAGAAAAAAATAAATAATCAGCAGCTGACTGCCTCACTGGACTTAGTCAAAGCCTAAGTCTGAAAGTGAAAAAGGCAAAAGGAGTATGAAAAGTAATTTCCACCTCCTGCAATGTAACTTGTAGCCATAAGGGGAGCTATTAAACGTGGTAAAGACAGAGTAGCCTTTGGATAAGGGGGGAAGGGAGAAGGGAGAATAATAGTCTTGCTTGGGGTGACAGTGATTTAACAGGGAACATATTTTCTACTTATAGTCAAATAGCCCCATTATTCACAACAATTTCCATCAGGAGTCATGATTGTCTCCAGGGCATCTTGAATTTAAACTGACCCAAATAACTTAGTGCAGTTGAAACTGAAGTTTAAACCAGTTCAATATGTGTTGTGTGAGAACAATGCAGGTAGGACTTACTACTGTCTTAGTTTCCATCCTTTTTCCCTTGTATATAATTAGATTTCTCCAATTTGGCAACAATTACTCAGTGCCTTTTTTCTTTTGGGACCAGACTTGCCTTGAGCATCTCAATGTTCCTGTAACTAGCTACTGAGAGTGCAGAAGGATAACCCTGAGTGTTCTTTCTTTCTCTCCAGGCTGCACAGAAGTGTACTTGTGACTGCAAGGTGGATAGTAGGCCAACTTCAGTTCCTTGGCCAGTGGTCAGATGAAGAAGTGTAAAGGCAAGTGAACATTCATACTAGTTCCGGCTAGCTTTATTATCATACTGACACTGCATATAATTTTTAAAATATTTTCAATACCCATCATTGAAGAAGAGCATTCCAAATGATTCTATACTTCAGTATACATTAGTCAAGCAGAAATATATATTGCAGTCCACTTGGCAAAAAGAAACACAATCACAAAACTTTAACAAGTCATGAATAACAGTTAAACTAGGTATGACTACGATGACTTTTAAATTAAAACTTGCTACTGAAGGATAGGCGATGGTGAATATTCATTGTGATAGTCTCAGTTACATCCTGTTAAATTTCTCTATAGGGTAGTAGAGAAATATTGCAAAATATATTTCACAAGTCCAAAACTTGTGCATCTTGGTTCTTGTGTTCCCCATTAGCACGGAGATTTGGAATACCATGGATATAAGCTCAAAAAGACTGTGATTGTTTTTCTTATTTTATCTCAGGTTTGATTTCACAAGGAAAAAAAAAAAAGATATTGTGTGTAAAGAACTAAGACAAAATGATTATTCTGTACTGACACTTTTCTCTGAGGCTATAAACTATTTCAGGCACTAAAT